TCTATATATATATATATATATATATATACACACACACATATATATATATATATATATATATATATATAAAACATAAGTTTTTTGTTAAAATATATTTTAAAATAAAATTAAACTTCTATTAAGGAAATATTTTCTTGGCACATTTCTGGGAAGTAAAAAATAACCAGCATATTCTAAGAGCTTGTTTATTTGTTCACTATGAATGGAAAAATTACTTCGCAGTATCAACGTTCTCATAGCCTATATTTAAACCTACATCTGCATTATCCTGACACAGCATTCCAATATCCCAAAATCAACATCATAATGAGACCACAACCATGAGAAAATAAAAAACAATTCTGTCCACCATATGCCCCTCCCAAAACTGTCAAGTTAAAAAAAAAACTATTATTAGAGGCCAATATTTCACTCCTGTGCATTGCTGTTTAACTGTTAAACTATGAAAAATTCATATCTGAGAGTCTAATTCCTAAATCCACAGTCCTGTTTTTATTGCAGTCCTCTGAGGGAAGCCCTTGGCAAACCCTTGCCTTCAATAATCATTTCTTCCTGTTTCTCAGGAAGTCCATAATGTGGTTGCTTTCTGTTTTCCTTTCTGCTTTTACGAACCCTTCTGACGGAGACCAGCTTTCCTCAGCTTTATTAAAAGGAAGTTTCCACCTCCTTATTTTTATGAGCCCTCATTTGAGTCATGTGGGGCTTGGAAAACACTCGGAGAATGGTCCCTGTGTCTTCTAAATGATGGGAAACATGGCTGACATCTGACTGGTGTTGCTCATGGAGTGAAAGATGTGTGAGTGGGACATGACTGTTTTCATTGTTGAATCACGACTGACTGTTTTGACATAAAACTTGCATAAACAGTTAGAATGCAATATAACTATATTAATCCTTATATAGGCACACTCACTAGCCTTCTTGGCAGTCATTTTTTACTTATACTGACATCTAGTGGTGGGAATGCAGCATTATTTAAATACAAAAGTTTTGAAAGTATCCAAAAATAAGGGGTTACAGAGTAAAAATGAGTAGTATTTGGCTGGTCATATGATCTCAACATGGCGGGCCTCATGAGGAAACCCACTTCATGTAAAGGAAAAACAGCTTTTATTAGGCTACTGATAAGACTGGAATTGTATAATGTTACATTCATATTTGGATCAGTCATACACTGGATTGATTGATTGATTGATTGGCAGGTTGACTCACTTAGTAACGGCCCCAATTTTGACTCCAAACACTCCAGACTGTTTCCTGGAGGGCATCCTCTTCAGACTGAACTCTCTGCTGGTAAACCGCATAGACAGCTTGACCTCAATCTGGAAAGAGTGATGAATGTGTACAACATTTTTTTATTATTAAAACATCTCACTGATGAGAACAAAGCAACTCAGCTCAATCTCACCTATCAAATAATCAAGAATGAAATCACTGTAAGCTGTGGCCATCAGCTTAATATCAAGCCACATGACCGTGATAATCCATCATTGTGCTTCATATTGCTAAAACTTGATGGCAGACAACAGACTACCTTTCAAATGTTTGGGGTCAGTAGGATTGGTTTTAAAGAAATTCAACAAGGATGCATTAAATTGATCAAAAGTGACAGTAAAGACTTTTACATTGTTACATGAGATTTCTATTTCGATTAAATGATGTTCTTTGAACTCTCTACTCATCAATGAATCCTGAAAAAAATGTCTCATAAATAAATAAATAAATAAATATAAATAAGCAGTAGAACTGTTTTCAATATTGGTAATGATAAGAAATATTTCTTGAGCACCAAATCAGCATATTAGAATGATTTCTGAAGGATAATGTGACACTGAAGACTGGAGTAAAAATTCACTGAAGTTGCAAAAAATTCAGCTTTACCATCACAGGAATAAATTACATTTAAAGAATCATTACATTACAAATTACAAATTGAAGAATCAGTTATTTTAAATTACAAACTGTAACAATATTACTGTTTTTACTGAATTTCTGATCACGAAAATGCAGCCTTAAACATACAAGACTACTTTTAAAAACATATTTTAAAAATCTTCCTGAACAGTACTATATTTAAATAGACACAGAAACACACACAAACCAGATAATTGTAAAGTATGTATGCAAACTTTTGAACAGGGTAATTTGGGGAATTTTAGTTATTATTCTGACAAATGAAATACTGAAATGTATCTGTTATACCACTTTAGGGCTGTAAAAATACAAAGACAATTTCTACACACTCATATTTAAATATATGACAAAATCTGCAAAAGAGACGAGTGATAAGCACCTACATGTGCACTACATATAGTTACAGTATATCATCACTTCAGTGTTCAGCAATGATTGAGGAACATCAATTATTCACTTCCCAGACAAATATAGATGATCCTTATCAAGTGTACTGGCCTGTTTAAATGTAAATGGCCTTTTGAACATTTAATAAAATGATTGTTCCTATTATTAGTAATTGTGTTATTATTGTGCAGGATGAGCCACACTGACCCCATTCATGCTGATTACTGTCCTCTGCCAGTCTTTACCCTGCAGCGATTGAGGATCCAGCTGTGAAAATGGGGACAAAATGTCAATCAAGAGGATAATCTTTATCTGAGCGTGACCCAAACACAGAGTCACCTGCTAAAAATGGCAGCTCAGTGAACACGCTACTGGAAAGTATCTACATTACACAAAAATAAATGAACAAACAAATGCGCTGAGCCTGGACAAATGAAGATAGCTGCCCAGGCACATAGTACAGCATTTGAATGATGCAGACCAATGCACAATACTATTTCAACTTAACCGATATAGACAAAATCATAATTTAAACTTAAAGAAATGCACAACCTAAATAACAGTATAATCCAAACAGTTTCCCTTCTTTATGATATGTCTATCTTCCCCAGTCTCATAGTATTACATAACGTCCACATAGTCGGTTGTCAATACTAATCTAGTGGCAGATTCTATTCTAATCATGTCTCTAATGCCAGGGCGTCAGTTTGTATTTACTGTGGTCTGCTATGGGTATTGTGACAACATAATTTACCAGCTTGCTGCCAATGGAAAGACCTGTATTGATTGGTTGGCTTTACTCATGCCAAAAAATCTGATGTAATTCAAAGCAACTGGTGCACTAGTACATAGCGATATGACAGCAACAATCAATGTCATATTTCAAATGTTCAGAAGGCATCTAGGAAGGGGAAATGCATCTTTTGTATATATCATGTCATCATGGGTGTAACACATTGTTCTAGGCAGGCTATGTCTAGATTCAGCACAGTAAACCAAAAGATCAGTATCACAACTAGAAGCAAAGCAATAAACAATTTCATTGCATTACATCATATAAAACTATATTTTCACTTATAAAAACCCCTACACTACCTGTCAAAAGTTTGGGGTCTGTAATATTTAAAAAAATTATTCAGCAAGGATTCATTTATAATGTTACAAAAGATTTCAGTTTCAAATGAATGCTGTTCTTTTGAACTCTGTGTTCATCAAAGAATCCTGAAAAAAAATGTATCTCAGTTTTAACAAAAATATTAAGTTGCACAACTGTTTTCAACATTGATGATAATAAGAAATGTTTCTTGCTAAGCAAATGAGCATATTAGAATTAAATAACTAACTACTATACTACTATAAGAACTAAATAATTTAATAGATCGCAAACTTTTGAATGGTATACTGTGTGAGAAAATATAAAATGTGTAATTATAAAGACAAAAAAAATGTATTGTGTCTAAATAACTGGCTTTACAGTGTCGTTGTACTAAAGCAAATTCGTATTATCATTGACAGTGTATCCAGTACAGTGGGAACTTTTTTTCCACAAAACTAAATTCAGATTTAATATGGTAAATTATATCTTTAGTTAACTTTGGTAGTCCTTAAAAACACATTTTGACCCCCCAGCAGCCCTTTGTTGCCTCCTGGAGGTCACCAGTTTGAAAACCCCTGCTATACACCAGTCTTTCCGAGCATTCTTTATCTTATGAACTCCATCAGTAAGTCTCAAGCCTTAATATTTTTCAAATCACAATGTTATATTACCTTAACAAACAATACATACCCTACTATGTTACCGATGCAGACCAAAAAAAATAAAAAATAATCCACATCAAATACTTCAGCATCTCGATTCCTAATCACACCGCTTAACAATATTCATCTCAAACCAAGTTAACAAACTGAGTTTCTTATTTCCTAAATCCCCACGCAGGACAAGGCAAGGCTCTCGTTACCTTCTGCCTGAGGAGCGTGCTGCGCACTCTACCCCAGAGTCGAGCCCCACTGCTCGGACCCTTCCTGAGGCCAGTGTCCACCTCCTCATCCTCCTCCTGTTTCTCCTCTTCCTCCACCGCACAGCTGCTAATCAACTCTTCCTTCATCAGTTTACTGCTCACAGTCTTCGTTCTACCATAATGCTCTTCACCATCCTGCATCTGGTCCTTTTTGCCCATCTCGCTCAAGTTCCTCTAGTAGAGGATGCTACTGTTATTGACAAGAAGCAGCAGGTTACAGGAACAGGAATCCCTCTCCGTTCACAGAAGCACAGTCAATTTTGGGTCTTCTAGCACAATGGCCAACTGGCGTTCCATGTCATCCTGAAGTGGTACGTGTTTTGGTATAACGGTTCTCATGCTGGTCTGAATGAATCTATTGTTGTGAACGTCTTCTCTGATATATTCTTGAGTTCACACACACACAGAGCTCCCCTGACGGAACTGTCACACAGATGGAGTGCTGGGATTAACTACAGAATCTCCGCCCACCCTGATGATTACGGCCCAGTGTGACAGCTGACCTACCAACAACGCATTCAAGACAATTTCAAGTGTTTCACTTGGTGCTCTTCTGCTTATCAGCAATGAAATGTGCCACTTCTTAAGTTTAGGACAGTATTATGTTTTTCCAATCAGTGTATGTCCTGTCGTAACAATCATTTTAGAAGAAACTGAAAAATGGAAGTTTTTAATTCCATACAAACAGGTATAAAGGATCTTGCTTGGAGTGTTTGGACTAAACAACTGAGATCTATAGGTCTATGGCCACAGAAAAAAAACATATGGTTGCCATGGAAAAAAAGGGTCATGTGATTAAGACATAATCTTTCATATGCTGATGCAGACTTTCACTCAACCAACCCGTAATTTCGCACCAGCGTGTCATGTCCCACTTTCTCTTTGGAGCATCTCTCTTTGTAAACTCTGATGACAGTCCATAGTACAGTCCTTCTAATCCTTCTCTAGCACAACACCTAAGCATTTCCCTAAAGCTGCCCCTCTATGTCAAGCCGCCATTCTGGTTTCTCTAGTAACTCAACCACACCACCGCATATGGCAGGATTATCTACCTGAACAACTAACCGGCTTTGTTCTGTTTATTGCATTAGGGATTAAAAATGTAAATGCTTAGTCACTATGGCTAAAGAGATTATTGCTTGTTTTATTTATGACTATAAAATAACACAATTTCATGATTGATTGCTTGGATTTGTGCACAGAGAAAACGCACTTCTGTAAAGAAAAAAAAGACACATTTGAGTCCACAAAGTGACCCAAAGCTCATAAGTATAAGTATAGTATATGTTGGCATTTAATTTAATGTAATATTTTAAAATGAGAAATGAGAACAGGATTATTTGAGCTGTCAACTGACCGGTGTTCGTTGGTGAGGACATCCCTGGGCTTTGTGACCACTGTGATGAACCACTATTGAAAATATATAAGCAGCTCACCTTCTCAAAGCTCCCTAATATATTAAAATATCATCTAAACAGGCATACCTGAATCTGTCCTTTGGCCATGATGCGATCCATGTTCTCCCCATCATCCCTGCACTGTCTGACCTTACTGTAGCACAGCAGTCTGAGGGTCTGAGAGCCCTCCAGCTCGATCTCAAACTCCTGTGAAAAGAGGGTCCAACCTCCATTTAATCATACCATTCAACTTGCATTCTAATGTCTTTTCATATTTTAAGTTGCAGGGTGTAATTTGTGATCAATTAGTGGGATCAAATGTTATTGCAGCATAAGGACTAATATTCTGTCTTTGTAACACGCTAGGTTTCTCTAAATGTTTCTGAAGGCAGCTACATGCAGAGGATGGGCTGCAGTTCTGACCTCATTCCAGTTTGGCTCTGTGGCGTCTCTGTACACACGAGTTTTTGCTTTGTTCACAAAATAGCCAAAAGTGTCCACCTCTAATGTACAGTACAGATCTGGAGGGGGAGAGAACAGAAAACAAGCCGGTTACATTTAAAACCATTTTCAAATGTTTAAAAAAAAACATTGAACATGAATCAGAAATTTAAAGTTACTTTCCCACATAGTATTTTCCAATCAAAGTTAAAGGTAACAGTATTAGGCCGTATGGGCAGTATGACCCCAATAACTATTACAGTAACTTTTAATAAGCATATTTTATGATACATTTTTTAATATTTTCTTTTTTATTTAATATTCTTATTTTTTGTATAATTTACAGAATTAAATATTTGATAAATAAAAAAATAAAAAAAAAAGATAAGATACATAAAAATAAGATTATTGAAATCAAAAGCAATCAAAGTAATAAAAAGCAGCTGTCACTGTATAACACTTCAGTTTTCACTTTTCAATTTGAAACATTGAAAATAACACTATAAAATGGTTATTTACATTATCATACATTTTTTTTTAAAAATATTTTTTGAAAGACGTCTCTCACCAAGACTGCATTTATTTGATAAAAATACAGTAAAAACAGCAATATTGTGAAGTATGAATAAGGTCAAAAACAACTTTTTTCTATTTGAATATATTTAAAATATATATTTTACTTATTTTGATGGCAAAGCTCAATTTTCAACAGCCATTACTTCAGTATTCAGTGTCACATGATTCTTTAGAAATCATTCTGATATCCTGATTTGGTGCTCAAGAAAAAATTCTAATTTTGCTTAATACTTTTGTGGAAACTATGATACATATTTTCTAGGATTCTTTGATGAATATAAAACTCAAAAGAACAGCATTTATATGAAATTGAAATCGTTTGTAACATAAATGAATTGAGATCAATTTAATGCATCTTTGCTGCATAAAAGCAGTCATTTAAAAAGTATTCCAAAAAAAAAAACCTTACTGATCCCAAACTTTTCAACGGTGCTGGATATAGCCTATCAGGATACGCGTTTACTTTTTATGCAAAGATCCTTTGGCTCTTATTACATTACACTGTCACCATGGTACATACAGTAATGACATTCACCCCTTTTGTAACATAAATGAATTGAGATCAATTTAATGCATCTTTGCTGCATAAAAGCAGTCATTTAAAAAGTATTCCAAAAAAAAAACCTTACTGATCCCAAACTTTTCAACGGTGCTGGATATAGCCTATCAGGATACGCGTTTACTTTTTATGCAAAGATCCTTTGGCTCTTATTACATTACACTGTCACCATGGTACATACAGTAATGACATTCACCCCAACTATCTTCAAGCTTCTGTTGAGTATAAAGGCTACAAGAAAGCTGAAACAATGAATGAGCGAGAACAAAGAAAGACATACATTAGTGATGGAAAGTTACATTTAAGAAGAACGCAGCATTCCCTGTTAATCCACAGCTGCTCATAGAGAGAACTCTGCCCAACAACAGCAGGGAGCATGTCAGGTGTTTTCATGCATGTGCGCACATATTAGGGAGGCATTCAATAATTTAATGATTACTGTGAGCTGAATTTCATTCCATCTAATTGCAACCACCAAAAAAACACACTGCTGCAGTCCCATAAACTAGGTGAGACATCCTGTGCCAGACAACTTACTCAAGCTCTGTTTCAGTCCTGTTGCAGAATGAACAATCACATTTAGAAAGCCATACAGCCCTGTGGATTCATCATCTAATGGGAGAAAAACAACCAAAAACAACTCAATTTATGACAAATTTCATATACAGTAGAAAGAAATAAAATGCAATACAGATCTTAATAAAACAAATCAAAAAAGGCACTCACATTCTTTATTGATTGTCAGAGGAACATTGTGAACTGTCTGTAGCTTTACGCAGGAGTTGGTGAGCATCTGCAACTCCAGGGAAGTCAAAGAAAAACTCTTGAAACCTGTGAGAGAACATACAGAAACCAAGAGAGCCTCGCTCAGTGAAGTCACCAATATCTGCATTTAACTAATAAGTGACTCTCTCTTGAAGGAAAAGAGCAGTTTACAGAGTCCTGCTGTTTTCATGCATGCAAAAATTCTTACACTTTTTCTGCTGCTCCCGAATGATCTCCCTCCATTCTTCTCGCTCGTAATCAGATGAAATCAGGAATGTATAGCCCTGAAATACAGAAATAAAACAAAGGAAATAAGGGGGGTTGACCTATCCCTTTAAGTGTTAAACGTCTGTCTTAGCAAAGAACACAGACTGCAGATATATGAAAAAATGCAGTTTTAGGAAATTGTCTGGTATTGATTCACCTTGCCATTCCTGTTACTGACTCTGAAGGCCATGCATGGAGATATGAGCAGCAGCAGTGATTCCTGTTCGCACAGTTTCTTCCTGAGACGATCAAGGACTTTACCTCCTTTACATACTCTCTGAACACATGAGAGAATTACAGGAAGGAGGTGGGAAACAATTAACACAAAGCTGAATGTTTACTTTAGAAAAGCATTTCTAAAACATGTTTAACGGCCTCATCTACCTTTTCTCTCTGCATCTCATTCTTGATCTGGGAGATCTTGACCTTCATAGCATCTATCTCTTCCTCTGGTATCTGGGGGACCGGTGAAGACTCCGATTCATCAATGGTCTGAAAAGTGACGTCAGCTAGTGGGATATACCACTTACAGTCATACTGCTGCCCCTTCCTGAACATAGGAAGACACAGAAACCAGGGGTCACAGATATGACAAAGCAAGAAAAAAGACAGCAACTTTGAAATGAGGTATGTTTCTACAGATGAAAAAAAGTTTTATATAGATTGACTTGCCCTCCGGTTTGTTTCTTCAATTTGGCGCAAAGCAGCAGATCGGTAAAGAGGAAGACATGTCGAAGTTTTCGTGACCCTTCTACTAACTCCACCATAAACTGGTCTCTGAGAAGCTGTCGATTCTTTAAAGACATTAGGATGACTTTAATATGCAGGACAATACATTAAAAACAACAACTATGTCTCTGTTGTATTTACATATAATTATAATAATAGCAGTAGTAGTAATAATAATAATAATAATAATAATAATAATAATAACATAAATTATATTTGTTGAAATTTGACGCCTTGTTTCAGAGAACTCTGGGAATGTGAAAAGACACCATCGTAATTTTTGGAAACCAAAAAATAACCTTAACACAATTAGTTTAAATTGTTTACCAACAGGGGGCGTTCATGTATTGTTTACTGCTCCATGAATCAGTGGCAGTCACTATTTTGCCTGAGGTGTGGGGTCATTTAAAGTAGGTGAGGAGGAAAAACAGCCAATGAGAAGCTCAGACCCATTCACTCAGATGGAGGCATGACACACTTAAGAAATTTCGCTATTATCGGTGAGACACGGGAGCTATTTTCATGATAATGATGGCAGCCTGAAGGGGTTTTAAACTCAGTCAAGCACGGCTGGATAGGATTGAAAAAAGTGTGCTGGATGAGATGATTCACAAAAGGCAGATATGATGGTGATTACCTACTGTAAATCACATTAGAGGAAAAATTTTGCCTTAAATGGATTGAAAAACCACACATTCCACCACCAACAACAAAAAATGTCCTTAAAACAACAAAGCAACATTAAATTAAAAAAGTTCTGTACAAAATGTTTCGAAAGATGTCCATCTCAGGTCATTCTTTACATCTGGGTGTGTATTTGCACTCTTGAGTGACCGAATCTTCCCCTAATTGAAGGGTGTGTGAAATATGTGAAAGACATCTGCTCTTTTCATGGCCTGAATGTCTGTATGTGTGTGTAGATGCATTCAAAACACTGTCTCTGACCTGTGACCCTGGCTTCAGAGAGAGTGTTTATCCCTGCTTTTTTTTCTCTCTCCTAAAGTACACCAGGATTTGGCCAACATGATATATGGGTGCAGCATTGACTTTGGATGCATTTAGAGACATCTGCTAAAACAGCCTAAGATGAGAAGCAGCACATGGCCATGAACTGGAAATCCATCATCTCAATGGCCATAATTACACAGGACATGGACCAAGATGCCCTGCAAATGATAATGCTGGAAAATACAATTACTTTCTTTCTAAACAGGCTTTGTCAGACCTCTGAATGAAAATGTAAATGTGCTATGAAATATATTTTCAATATTATTCAATTGTTATATTTTTGGTGGTGTTTTATCATTAAATCATTATATTAGACGTAGAATATAGTGCACAAAAGACATATAGAGAGCTACATTTATGATGCTTTTGTATCCTTTTGGAAGCTTGAAAGCTTCTGTTTTCATACATTAAAATTAGAAAATGAACCAGCACAGTCTTTAAAATGTCTCCTTTTGTGAACCATAAAAAATAGGCCTTTTATACTCCTTTGATACAAAATGGTTTGTTGGATCCCAATAGAGAAACTAAGAGATATTTTAGGTCTTGTGTGTCTGGCAAATATCCACAGTTAATGTAAAAAAAAAAGTTTTTTTTTTTTTTTGATTAATACTTTCTCATACGATTGTATAATGATGTTTTATCATCAGTTCCTGCAAAGTGATAAAAATTAAATATTCTTAATTTAAGTACAAATCTTGACAGGAATCATGATTAAGCTGAGATGTACTGTTCCCCAGCTTATGTCAAACATTCCTTTAATCATTCCAATAATAAATAATAACTATCTTTGAATTACATCTCTGTATTTTCTTTAATAAAAATTCCTGGCATGTCCATAAGCCTACAATCAGAGAGCCACTTCCCACACAGTTTTCCAGTAATCTGCGAGGAAGTCTAGCACCAGGTCAACTGACTCACAGTTCAGAGGGGTCGGGAGAGTGTGCAAATACATGTTTGTGTTCATTCTGAAGCTGGGAAGGGTGTTGAGACACTTTGATAAAGGAGGAAGGGGAACAGGAAGGCAGGAGATGATTATATTGTTGACGGGACACTTGCAGCGTTATGCAACCGGAGCGTACTGAAGAATATTTTTACACTTCTTGTAAAAATATTACTAAGAATTACAGTACAAGACTTTATCAGCAAGGGTTTTTCTTCTGGCCTTGTCACCTTGAGCTCATGTGCGTATTTTTAAATATATTTTTTTAAGGCAAAAAATATTATGAATGATTAATTCATAAACATCATAATTTTTTTGAGGAGTCGCACCACATTACTTTTTAAAGCCTGAACAAACCTTGTTTGTCATAAAAAGTCACTTTATGACATTTTGTCTTCACAGTTGCTTATTTTTCTTTTATATATATATATAAATATAAAAGGCATAAGAGTGACCAGAACACTAAATGGTGTAAAAGGAGAGTAAAGGTCGAATATATATATATATA